TATATATATATATATGTTTAATACTGCTTATTTTTGTTTTATCCTATTATTGGTTTACCAAATTTGATCTAGAGAATAGTTATTTTGATCCTTTAGTCTTTAAGGCATCTCGACTGACACAACCTCACCAGGAGTTCTGGTCCTACAGCGGCCACTTGGGCCAGACCAAGGCAGTGGTGAACTCAAGTTCTCGAGCGGCTCCACGGGCTGCACCACAGCGGGAGAGATGGATCCTCACAGATGGTGGGATGCCCTGTCAACTGCCATTTTGGCACGAAGGCCACAAGTACGAGAGCCTAGGCTTGCAAGATCCGTTTGGTTTACCCCAATCTGCCAGTCGAAGCTGGGTCAGTTTCATGTCTGTTGGCTTCGGTGAGTTTTCAGGAGACTCCTATGATTTTAAGAGCTAGGGCGGATTTGCAGTTCACCCAGGACGTGCCATCCTGATGGCTGGTGTTGTTTGGACCCGGATTGCTCTCGCACATCGGGTTGCTCCAAGTCATCCGAGATGCCACTGCAGCGAGCACGAGACCCAGTGAGGAGTTCTTGCAAGTTGAAGGCGCTTGGACAGGAATTTCTTTGGGACCCGGAGGGGCCATCAGGTGACATCAACTTGATGTTCTTTTTGTTGCAGGCAGATGCGCCAGGATGGGAAGACCAAGACCTGGAACCACTGGTCGAGCTTTCCCAAAGCTTGGAGTTCAGGCTGGTCCTCATGAGCTACAAGAGCTCTTCTGAGGAGATCCAGAGCCTCATGCTCAGAACTCACGAGCAGCTCGGCAGACTGGCCACAGCCGGCACAGCTTTTAACATGGAGCGAGTGAGGCGGAGTTTCGTCTTGGCCACGCAGCCAGCATGGCAAATTTCGTTCGATTCATGCTGGCTACCATCTGTGACGCACGCATGGTCCAAACATGTGAGCGTGCTACGGGCCTTTAGCGCCAAAGATGACCCCATCGTCCTGGAACGCACCCAGACGATTCGGGGGGATTGGGCATTGCGAGCCAGCGATAAGGACGGGAGCAAAGCAGTTGTGGGGTCTAGAGTTGGTTTGATTTTCCTTTCCACCTTGTCACCCTTTCCAAAAAGATCCTCTATAGCAGCATGACATTGAAGCTAGAGGCTAGGCATGGCCAGGAAGTACTAGGCGGCTAGGACCGGCTAGGACGTTCGAGCCAGTAAAAGCCGTGAGGAGTTGTCACTACCTCTCCGTTGGGCGGGCTATTTATGTGATGAGAATGAGAAGGTCCAGGAAGAGGCCTCTTGGCCGGCACCTTTGCTTGACCTCACGGGTGCCGTGGCGTTGGTCGCCCGGGGTACCTGCTCTCACTATCACAAGGCGCGGGCGGCCAAGGAGCTCGGTGCATCTGGAGTGGTGATCTTCAGTCAAAATGAGGTGCCGGTGGCCATGAGTTGTGCTGCTCCAGATCCTTGCAAAGATGGCTTGGACATTCCAGTGGTGATGACGACCAGGTCAGTGGGGGAAACCCTGCTGGAGGAGATGTTTAACAGCTCCAGTGGCTCCTTGGTCATGGCAAGCCTGGCTTCTCAAAGTGAGGGGCCGAACATGGTGGGCGTTTTGGGACATTCAGGTGGGCTATGGTACAACTCTCCCATTGGTCCATCCCAACTGGCTGACGAACTAAGAGGCATGGAATACAGGAGGCAGCTGCTACAGCGCCAGGAAGATCTCGCGAAAGCCTCATCCTCCGAAGTGCTCCGAGTTGATGTGTTTCTCAGTTCCACATCCAGAAAGCGTGCAGAGCGTTTACCGTTTACCTATTATCAGTGGTCAAACGTTTCTTCTTTCATTTTCTTTCTGTTTGCCAACGGAGGTTGGTTGGCTGGTGGGATCCTTCACAGATTGAAATGTGCAATCCGACAGTCAGTTTCAAAGTACTAAGCGCACAGCGTGGCTTCTTTGAGGTTTCAGCGCGAGCCTTTTCCTGGCGGACTGGCGGCCAAGTGGACAGCCCAGCAGGCCAAACTGGTAAGGGAGGGCGGCTTCACAGACCTAGCGATTGAGCTGAGGCTGGAGTGCGATGATCACTTGGACGACAACTGCCCACCCTGGGTTCACTGGAATTTGCCGAATGTAGAGCCTCCAAGTCCTTCCTTTCACCGAAAGGTTACAGAAGGTGGAGACAAACTAGCCCATTATATTCCATGATAAAACGTTGTCAGAACTGCTTGGGATTGGAGGCTCTGTTTTACTTTCCTCTAGAACTTGAAGCAAGAATCTTAGACTTTGAGTATCTGAAGCCTGCATACCATCTGCCATCAGTGGGACATCTCAGGATCATGAGCTGAACTTGTACCTTTGCTTGGCCACCGCTAGCGACGAGGAGGAGGGCCGTTGCCACGACCGGCGGACCTCGCTGGCTCGTTGGGTGACGCCCTACGGCCGCGAGGCGCATTGGTTCAGTGAGGCCAAAGCGGGAGTTGCCTTGCTGAGCTCAGAAGAAGCGATGGATGGCTTAGGACTGGAAGTTGGGGAGTGAAGAGGGGCTGGAAGGTGGATGGGGAGATGGGAGGAACCTGGTCAAGTGAGACGTGAGGGTCAGCGTGAGGTGATAGGAGATACTGTAGGACTTTCACCTTGTCCTTTGACGCATTTTGGTTTGAGAATCTTGCGAAGAACTCAGGATCATTGGAGGCAGAGGCTTGCTGTGAGGAGTTGGGCCCAAGCACATTGCTTCTAGTAGTGATCAACTAGAACTAGACTAGAAAGACTCATAGTGGCATAGCACACAGTGATAGTGGGAAGGGTCAGGTCGTGGCAGGGTGGGATCTGACCTGGATCGTTCACGAAAACATTCACGCAGGATCCAGGAGGCTCCCAACTCGGCCCGCCGTCCGAAGGAACTTTGCACCTTCATACTTGGCAGCACTACACCGTGTCGCTGGTCTTTTGGTTCCGGCGCTCTCCAGATCATGCCCTGCTGCCCTTCCGTCAGATCGCACTGTGGGGAGCTTCAACCCCCTTCGATTTGGGCTACAACCCATCGCAACGGCCGAGGAGCTTTGAGGTCCCTTTGGCCACCCGGCAGGTCGTGCTGAGCGCCCTGATCACAGGCCATGGCTGGGGTGTTGATGAGGAGAACTGCGCAGAGTTCTGCGAGCATTCGCACCACTTTGCCATCAATGGTATGGGAGGCCCGCTGCTCACCAAGTTGCATCCCACTGCTGGCAATGAGGATGGATGCAAGACGCAGGTGCTGGAAGGTGCCCTTCTCGAGAGGAGAGAGTCGGACTTGCTAGTAACTTCTTGAATTGCATGCAAAACACTTGTGGTCTTCTTGTGCTCAAGTAGCAATTCACTTTCATGAACGCAGGTCTCAACAACAGCATAGTGTGTATTAGTCAGTCTCTAGAAAGGTGTACAGGCGCAGGTGTGCCCTAAAACATTGGGATCTCTATGGGGTAATCAATGGTAATCATATATTCCCCCAAAAGCATTCTTACTAGAATAACATTGGCAATTTGGTCAGGTTCTTCCGCCAATGGTTCCGCTTGTTGCATCGCGACTCAGGCGTGGTGCCCAACCAATACGGGACCTGGCCCTTTGGCCGCGCCGGCTGGTGCCCAGGGCAGCAGGTGAACTGGTGGGAGGTGGATGTGACTCATTGGCTGCAATCAGAGACCAACACCATCACGTACAAGGCGTGGGGAGTTGGGGAGAGGGTCCTTTGAGCCCTTGGGCCCTTGGGTTTATTTTCTTCAAGACTCCACTAGGCTCAAATCCCAAGTGGCGCTGAAGTTTGGGGTTGTGGCCAGGCATTCGTGTCCAATCGAGCCTTGTACTCTCAAAAGATCATTAGAAGCGGAACTTGGAACTTTGTGTGCGTTTGTGGAAGAATTTCCGGAGCCTTAAGTGGTCCAGACCCTTAAGTGGACACAGTTCTGAGGGTCCAGATTTCTGGAGGGTGCCACCCCTAGATCCCTAGTATCCAAGGTCCAGGGAGTGTCTGGGAACTGTGAGAGGCTGGGACCGGTGAGGCTGGTGAGGTCGGAAACCCGTTGCTTGAGACCCCGCAGGCTCTCTTCAATGGAACTGACTACGATCCGGAACCAATTCAAGGGGATTCCTTGGGCTTTCCGGCGGAAATCCATGTCGCGGCAGTTTTAACCTTTTACACGGATGACGGGTCTGCTCGCAAGCAGCCGGTCAACCTTCTTCTGGAAGATTCGAGACGTTTAGTTTTCCCCTGACTTTTCGGGACGAAGGACCGACCCCGAGTCCACATGAACAGGCGGCGTGATGCATGCGGGACACATGGGCCCGAGTGCCAATCTGTTCAGTTCGCCTTTCAATTCAGACCTAGTCAATTCAGCAAGCCATAGGCACGCAGTGCAATCATAGGGGCAGTCTGTATAGCTTACAGGCTGTTGATGTGGAGAAGCGGCGGCGTTGGAGTCAAAGCCGTAGAATTGGTCAGCCTGATGAATAGGTGGGCTGAGCCAAGTCATACCAAAAAGACAAAGCTTCAAGAAGTTCCATCCGCTGTGAGGACCGGCTTCCTCAATAGGTAGGCTTCCTCATCCATACTCAAAAGGCTGCATCACGGTTTCCGTGTCCTCCACACACACCTAGGGACTGTTATAAATTATATATAAATATCTTATAATTCATGATTTCTAGTCAACAGAACGGACACTGTTCGGTTGGATAATGTATGCTTTTCAGATGGACAGGTGCATGTGAGACGGTGACATCCACCGCAGTTCACCGGTCGTTTCGCCTTGAGGCCGCTTTGGGAGACTTCAATGAAGTCTTGCGCCTCAAGTGGGGTCCCCCGGTGGGAGGGAAAAGGAGGGAAACAGGGCGCTGTAAGCGCCTGAAAACCATTGAGCACACCGAAGGATTTCAGTGGTTCAAGCCGGAGGAACTATGTGTTAGACACTTGGAAGTGCAGGCTTGAACCTCATGGACGACTCGTTTCCTGTTTTAACTGGATTTGCTCCACTTCCATGTTGGTTGAAGAAGGGGTGCGCCACGGTGAGCCCAATTCAAGAGAGTCCCGAAGATCCAGAACAAAACAACACACTTCCACAGACCCTTCTGTTTTCAGAGGACCTTCCCTGTACAACCTCCTGGTCTGTGGGATTTGTTCCCAATATCTCCCAATTGGACTTGCAGATCCCGTCCACCTTTGTTCCTGTTCCCGAGTCCACGCCACACAGCGGCGCTGGCCAGCCGTGGAGCCGTGAGGCCAGGCCCATACGGTTTGCACGGGAGAGCTGAAAGAAAGCAGTCAAATGCTGTCAACATAGCAGAGAGAGAGAGAGTTGATGCAGGAACCTCCGATGGTGGACTCTTGTTCATCTTTATTTTTCAACGATAGACTCTAGCTGTACGGCCGCACGACCGAAGACTTGATGGAACAACATCTGCATGAGGCGAGCTTTGAAACAGTACCAGGATGCCATTGCTGACTACAATCTTGCGCTCGTGGCGGGCCAAGGTGGCAGTGAAACTCCCCCAAAAAAGAGTCCATCTATATAGTAATAGTAGCTTCTTGTTCCTAGTAGCGATGCCCTTTGCTCCTAGTAGCGTCCTTTGCTCCTAGTAGTAAGGCCAGGAGCCCCGTTCGTAGCGTTCTTGTTCCTAGTTCGATTTTGCTTTGCTTTCAGATGTTTGGGGCGCGCCGAGCATCGGCGCAGAGGGCTTCGGCAGAGCATCGGCCCAAAGGCTTCACGGCCCTCGCTCCGACGCGTCATGCTTCGCCTGCCTCGCTGCCTTCGTGTCGCGCCACGGGCGCCGCCTGCCCCATGGGCCCAGAGCCGCCACTTCGCGGTGGTGCGGCACGACTGGAAGCGAGAAGAGGCGGAACCCCAAGACTATAGTAGACTCAGCTATGATACGAGGTGCGGAATTTACAGATTTTATCGGATGTTCTGAGGAGAGTAACATGAGAGCAAGTTTGTGCCATCAAATTATGGTGCTGAAAGATCGTACAAAATTCGCAATTACGACTGAATTCGCAATCAGACAAAAGGCATTCCAGCCAATCTTTCGCCATTTGCCACAGATCGGCGACATCTACCACCAGCCCTTGCTGGAGTTGGTCTTCCAAGCGGCTTCGGTCCATCGGCAATTCTTTGACCCCAAGGAGGTTCAGCAAAGCACCTTGCTGTCCATCAAGACAGGCAGGGTCCTGCTAGACTCAACGTAGAATATAAAGTTAGATACACTCCGACCCACTAACATGGAAGTGGACACCACCCCGTTTGTAGAGGAACATCGTCTTCCGTCTTCCCCCCAAACCTGATTTCCTCTTCCATGTTGGTGAGTCGGAGACTTCATGGCAGTCGCTTCAACAGTTGGCTTGGTGCAGGTGGCTGTGGTGAGAACTGTGCCTTGGATGGTGGAACGGGGCAGGGAGGATAAGGCCGGTCAATAGCGTGTAGACACTAGTAGACACAGTCAAAGCCTATTCTGCCATGATGTGTTAAGTTCTTGCGTTTCTTTCTTGCATCTCAGTAAGTGGGTTTTGTACTTTCATCACCTGATTGCTTCGAGAGGATGCTGGACAGTCTTCTTGTCGTTCAAGACAACTACTCTCCCCGTGCCATGAATGTACTGGGCCGGAAACCAATACGGACCAGACTTCCATCAGATTATGCCAGACTTCCATTGGATTACTGTATGTTTTATGTGGCTATGGTGAACACTTACTGCCAGTGACTCAGTTTCTCCTGGTTTCAACATGCGAAGGGTCCTCCGCTCCAGGTGGCTACTGTTCCCAAAGCCAAAGCTTCAAGACCTCAGTGAAGCCCACGCATATGATGAAAGTGGATGAGGCTCCAGAGCTGAAAGGAGAAAGCAATGCGTTCTATTTTTCATTCTTCTATGAATGTCAACCCCCAGCATCGAAACGCAGCAGCCAGTAGGCAGAAGTGAGAAGTAAGATGAAGTACTGTAAGTAGGGGGGCCTGGGGGTGTGGGGCCAAACCAAGTCTCATGATGAAATGTGCTTGGAAGTGGGGAAAGCGCGGCCCGTCGGGAAACGGAAGCAGACAGCTAACTAACTGGCGTTGATCCCTCTCTATATATTTATTGTAGTGTTTTTTGCGCATGCTGTTTTAATACTTATTCTTGCATTGTCTAAGTATATTATTAGATTGTGTCCGTCCCATTACCTGCAACAGTCAGTAAACAATTACCAGCATGTAAGAGTCAAAGGCCTTTACTAGCCATCATCATCCACCGTTACTGGCATGGATAATGGGATTTACCGATTTACACAAATATTAGCATATAATATGGCACAATGTTATTTTGCATTACGTTATGTTACTTGTTGATATGCATACAAAAACACAAAAAATACTGCATTATATGATAGTATTGTCAGTATTGTTATATATAATATTTTATGCTAGCGTTCTCTAAATGTTATATATATATACTTATTGTGTATCCAATGATGATTGATGGATGCATGTCGTCACACTTCATCTTGGTTTTCAGACATTGTGTCCATCAGCCGCTTGGATGTTCAGTTCAAAAAATGCAAAGACTGGAGAAGCAGATGGCTAGAGCTAGCAGCCAGACTATCAACTATACAGGGAAGGTGGGGGCAGGTGTTGTAAGTGTGAAAAGAAGGTGAAGACTGAGCCCAACCCAAGCACTCATCTGGAACATCGTTTTCCGCGCCCACTCCAGCACCCGGTGCAGAAGGGTTGGTCGAGGGCACCAGCGGCCGAGGTCTTGGAAGCTGCGCGGAAGGCTAAGGATGCTGGGTCCACACGGTTCTGTATGGGCACTGCTTGGCGAGGCGTTGGTCAGAAGAACTCCTTTCAGCATATCTTGACCATGGTGAAGGACCGGCGATCGATGTGTATGCTACATGCTATCGCAGGAAAATCCATCAATTGTCATGGACGTATATGGAAGTGGATGTCATCTACATGCAGGGGGCTTCCCACTTCAATTAATGGTCGGAGGCATGCCAAGGGTGGATGTCTGTAGGCTTTTCTGGTGCCTTTGTGGACAGGAAGTCTCTGGCATGGGCATGGAAACTTGCTGCACCCTTGGCCTCCTAAATGCCGAGCAAGCCAAGCAGTTGAAGGACGCAGGCCTCACAGCCTATAACCACAACTTGGACACGAGCCCGGAGCACTACCCAAATATCGTGTCGACCCGTGTCTTGGTGGTAGACTTGAATTCTGCAGTAGCACATGCTGGCACTAGGTTTTCGGCCTCTCAATGGATATCCCGCTACTGCCATCTATGGCTATCCTTGATTCCTTCAGTTGGCTTCACATCCTTGCTCCCCGTAGCATTCTTCTCGCGCCTAGGCTCCGACATGCGAAAACTTCCGAACGGACCGCAAGGTACCTATGCGGATCGCTTGGAGACCTTGGCCAACGTCCGCGAGGCAGGTATCAGCGTTTGCTGCGGGGGGATTTTGGGCATCGCCGAGACCCAGGAGGACAGGGTTGGACGTTTCGAGAGAGGCTTTTCTCCTTTCCAGTCGAGATTTCGAGTTTCAGAGAGAACATGCTTCGGGCAGTCTTTGACGCCGTGCTTGGACTCGAACGTTTGGTGGCCTCGAGAGACCTCGCTGCTCGGGCTTGCCAACTCCAAGTCCTTTGTGCTTTGGTTGACTGTACCGTTGGTAGCGCCTGATCAACAGATTCCTGTGAACCACCGTTATCATTATACATCATGACATCATTCACAGCTTTAGCGAGGATCTACCATGATCCACAGGTATAGGGGGAGATGCAGGTATTGGATGGTATTGGTCTCTCACTGTCGAAGGACCGAATTGGCTTGATTCACACCTTGGCTACGCTCCCAGAGCATCCAGAGTCAGTGCCCATCAACGCCTTGGTGCCCATTGAAGGTGGAGACGTCGCTGTGTCATTCTCAAAAGGCAGACTATCTGATCTTTGCTAATAGGTGTTGATTTGGAACATGACCTTGTGATTCCAACTGTTTGCCACATCTTCACGCACCGGACTTGTTTGAGGCACCCCTTTGGGTGATCGACAGATCAAGATGGGCACGGCAGTGACCTGGCGGGACATGGTGCGCTCGATTGCCACAGCGCGGATTGTGATGCCCCAGTCCATGGTGCGACTCTCTGCTGGACGCATGGAGTTCTCACAGGAGGCGCGCGAAAGTGTCACATGCCTATATAGAAAATTAAGTCTCCCCCCAAAACAGGGTCTCCTGTCCAATTCTCAAGCGTTTAAGCTGCCTTTTGTCACTTCTACCTCGTATGTGCAGGCTCAGAAATGATATTTCTTTCTTTGGGCTGAATGTGTGAACCATTCGGTGCACCGAACATGTCCAGCTGGACGCAGGCGCAAGCGATGATGTTCATGGCAGGGGCGAACTCGATCTTTACGGGGGACAAACTCCTCACCACTGCCAACCCCAAATTTTCCGAGGAGACTGGGTGGGCGGAAGAACTGCAGCGGAGATGCGCGGTGGGTTTTGTAGCTTGGGCTGGACAAAAGGGCCAGACACAGCGTGTGTTTCGGAGTTCTCCCGAAACCGCGTGTCGTGAGTAACTTGAGATGGTCTGTTGTTTTCCCACCCTCATCTGGACTCCATCACCCTGTCAGGACGCCGCCATGTTTGAAGCCTTGGGTTTGCGGGGAAAGAAGCCCTTCACGGGTCCGACAGCTCACCTCCGCCCCCACTGGGCTGACCGAGCGGTCGGATCCGAGCTGCCGATGGGGACGGTACAGGGAACCACGGTGTCGGGCCCGCGGGAGGTGGCCTTCTGAAGCTGCGGACGCATGAAGTGAGGAGCGGAGTGCAGCTCTCATGAGACTCATGAGCGAAGACAGCCAATAATCGCGTAACCTATTTGCACTAGGTGGTTGTAAAGCTGTACACATTAAACGCAATCACACACACACATATACACAATTCTCGGCGAATATAGAAAGTAAAGAAATCAAGGGCAGGGGCATACCATGCTGACATAGCAATTTATGATGCAACTGCAAAGCCGACATCATCACACACGAGAACACCATCGCATGGTATGAATACAAACTACTGCTAGGGCCGCTAGGGAAGCCGGCCATATCAGCGCTGCGAGCCATGCGCGCGTTCACTGCCGTGCTTTTCCTGCACTTTTGTTGTGTGAAGGTAGAGTTTGTGTCAGAGTTGTCGCAGCTCACAAGGAGCAGGCGACGGAGCAGCCACGTGGCTGCTGTGCTTTCCTTGCTGCAAGCACAGGTCAGACTTGCATCAGAATCAGAATTCCGCTAGTCCCCTGTGCACAAGATATTTCGGAATAACAGGCCGGTGCTTGCGCCGCCCTTCGTTCTCAGGTACAATTTTTACATCACTTGCGCGATTTCCGCCTTTGCTCATGCCATGCACCCGGTGCCTTCGCACCGTCGTGCTGGGGCAGAATGTCAAAGTGTTGGAAAGGCGAGAACCTGAGAGGAGTAGCAGGTCGTTGAAAAAGTAAGAGCCTTGCTCGCGGGGTTCGCGGGGTCCGTGGTCCGTGCAGTTGGCGGGCTCCTCCAGGCTCATTGTTGGGCTCTGTGTTGGGATGTGAGCCTTTGCTGTTCCCACAAGAGGACGAACAACTTTGGCCTAGTTGGAAACGCCACGCACCAGTGGCTCTTGGACATCTACAAACAAGGCAGAAAGACCATTGTTCGGGGGTATGATTCGAGGATATTATGAATCGCTCAAGTCGAAATTCCAACGACTGCATCAGGAAGCACGCGCCCCAAAAATACAAATCCATATACCAGTCCAACACTGGAGCCCGACTGCGAAACCACCCATGAGGCCATTATACCACCCAAGTTGGACCTGGCATCCAGCTGCAGGCACCGCTGGCACGCGAAATCAAGGCCGCAGTTCTTTAAAGGTGTCAAGAGCAAATGGAAACCTGCGAACACAAAATCCTTGCGCACTTGGGTGTGCACGGCAACCCTCGAAGAACAATTTTTTTGATTATTTGTATTTCCACGGGGGCCCAGGAGCAAACTGGCTCTAAAGCTCTCTCTTCTTTTTTCACAGGTGGCAATGTCCGTGACAAGGAGCTTACCTCTCATGAGGTGGCGCACGATGTTTCTTCTTTGTGAAAACTGTGCGTTTCAAGGTCCACTTCCGACCGATCCACTTCTTACTGTGCAAGTGCTTTCTCCACTGTTCTCTTTGCCGCGCTGCCAGTTGGGCTCTGTGAGCTGCAGCTCCCCCATCGTGAGCGTGCACAGGTCTCCGCAACCGTTTCCGGTCAGTGACGGCTTCAGGCTGCGTTTCGTCAAACGGCTTGCAAAATTCAGAGTCCGGTCGCAAAAGGGCGCCTTCCAACAATGCCAAGATTTGACTTTGGGATCTCTGTGCAACCGTGGGCGCATAAGCTGCGCTGTGATGCGCCAGCAACTTGGCACAGGAGAAACTTTTCAAGACCACCTGCACACTTTCCAAATGTTGTTGTACTACCGTGCTCTGTGAGGAGTTGAACTGCGCGTGCAAGGCCTCATTAGCAGCAGTACCAAAGGAAAACAATTGTCTGCGCTCCCGCGAGAGGGCCGAGATAGCGCAGCAACCATTGCGGAGGTAGGCAAAGTGTCTGTAAGCACTTCCTGTGATCAGGATCTGCTTGACGGACTGACCCTTGGAATTCTTGCGCCCCATGTCATCAGGGTAGAGGAGCGTCAAATCTACGATGTCATCGATGTAAGACTGGTGATCCAAGTAAGGAGTTTGGCTGTAGTCTATAAAGTTCCGGTCTGGGTGAAGCGGGTTGCTTCGTCGAGCAGGCCATTGTCCTGGTCTGCGCATGGGGACAAAAAACCAATACGCATTGCGGCCAAGGCCACAAAACGAGTTATCAGAAGCAAGACAAACAAACACCCGTTATTTAGTCTCATAGCGTGCGACGTTAGACGTTTCGTTGCTACCTGTTTCCAGGCTATAAAATAACGTTTCTTTAAAAGCATGGTTTCGTGTTGGTAAAGACAAACAACCGAGCGCGCACCTTCATGCGCCTTCGGAGCAGCGCCGCCTTTGAAGATGGCGCAGTCCAGGGCGTGTGCAAATTTCTTCTGCAGATGGAGGAGGTTCCGGGATAGGGCTGTACGTTTTTCGCCAAAGCAAGCCTCAACCCGCAGCGCAAAGTGCAAAGGGTCCTCAGCAACACCCTGCAACTGTGGAAAGCAGTGATCTGCTTTTTGCACTGTGTCTGGCGAATCAGTAAGACCCAGAGCGTCGTTCGACGCGCTTCGTCCGGAAGCAAAGATGTGACTGCGTCAGCAAAACATTTGGGCCCCTCTGCGTGCTGAAGCGACAAGCCTGCCAAGGCTCCGCTCAGTCCCAAGAGCGAATGCAACGCATGCCCTTCTCCAGGTGCCAGCGCCATCTTCCGCTGACCAATGACAGAGAAGAGTGCTTTGAATGTAGCATCGTGTGAAAGTATTTGCCACTCGCCCTTCTCAGTATTTTTGCCGATCAGACCAGAATGGAATTGTTGAATAGAAGGCAAAGACCAAACCTCTTCCATGAGCGTTCGCCTTGTCAGTCTGTTTCTGGTGCCAAGCAAGGCGCAAGGACTTCCACGGGCCAGGAAATGCTCTGTGAGATGCAAAAAAGTTGGCTCAGACTTCCCACGGTGTTGCAGCATGCAGGCCATGAGCACGTTAACAAATTTGTTGTTGTAATAAAGATTCTTCTTGAGTCTTCTGAAGCTCACTGTCTGCGCCTTGAGCAGGTACTTCGGTCCCACATCAGTCAGCGCAAGCACCACATCAAAATCGTTGTACTTGCGTAGAAAATCGGTGGTTTGCATCCCTGGGGCGATGGAATCTCGTATGAAGCAGGCAGATTCCTGAAGCAATCTGCCTGCTAGCTTCGGTTCACGAAAGGGTGCCTGCACCTGACAAATCAATTTCAAAAAGGTGCAATATTACATCGCTTTGCGACATCAGTAACACAGGGGGCCCTCAGAAGTCAAGCCTGTGGTTGATGAAAAAACACGCCAAATCAACACATAAGCCCAAGCAACATCCCCAACAGCTAGAAACATGTTGCGCGTGCTGAAAAACTATGTCACAAGCCATCAAGCTATAGCCTACCTTTTCTTGCCGGGCCCGCGGCCAAAACAAGCCAGGAACCCCACCAACTTCACTGCACTCATTACTGCAACGCTGTCTTGTCGCCGAAAAAGAATACACAAATGCGTCACAAGCGCTGGTATGGTTCGAGTGGGATACCAGGAACCTGCTCCGGAACCTCGCTCCGGAACGTGCTCCGGCACCTCGGCTCCTCCGAGACCTTCTCCGGAACCCCCTTCCGAACCTCTCCGGAACCTGCTCCAGAACCTTCTCCGGAACCTGCTCCGGAAGCTGCTCCGGGACCTGCTCCGGAACCTCCTCCGGAACCTGCGTGCTCCGCAACCTTCTCCGGAGCCTGCTCCGAATCTGCTCCAAGGCCTTTACTATGGCAGAACACCCCTAGCCTTGCTGTGGTGGAAAAATTAGAAACACGGGAGAACAGGCACTAAAGGAATCAAGCCTGGTCCTGCTCAAAAAGGGCCAAAACCAAATGCCATTGAGCGCGAGAGCGGCTATTAGCAGTGAAGCAGCGAGCTTGCGTGTGGTACTTCCGCACGTGGGTCTGCAAGCGCTGGGCGCGCTTGAACCCCCGAAATGGACAGAAGGGACAGAGTATCCAACGTCCTTGCCTCTCAGGATGGCCTGCATTGAGGAAGCCTTGCACTTCTTCCCTCAGGGAAGCAAGAACCCGCAACAGGACATCCTCTTCCACGTCGGCATCATCGTCTGTGCCGGCGTCATCCATTCAGTATTCAATGGAAGGGAAATGTCTGCTATGCTTGATGAAAATTTCTGAGCCAAGCAAAAAACACGGTTTCGCATTGTCACACTCAAGTAGCGCAATATTTCCCACAGTCGCAGGCGACCACTGCATCTGGGTTGCTGACAGGGGAAATGTTGGGGCCTAGTCCTTACATGCCCCAACCACTCCACGTCGAAAAAACATGGCGCGTTTTAGGCTCCGCAGCATCGGCAGTCTGAGACCAGTGTCTGCTTCAAACTGGTCTCGTATAGCCGCCGCCGATCCTGGGAGACTTTCCAGCCCGGGAGCGGCGACCACCGCGTCAAAAACTGGACACACAAGATGCCAGCCAAACTCGGCAACAATCTCTATCAAGCGCCTGGTAGCCGCATCCTCTTGGTGGAAAACAAAGAAGGCCAGCGTCGATGTCTTCCAAAATGTTTGGATGTGCCTTGACCAAGAATTCTCGCTGCGCGTAAGACTCAGCAGCCATTCCTGACAGGATATGGGTGTCTGATCTCAGAAGGGGCAAAAACGCCGCAAGTACGGGGAAAAACGCCGCAAGTGCGGGTAAGAACGCCGTAACTTTAAACGCTAAATCTTCCGCAATGCCGCGCAAAAGGTCGAGGTACTCTCGAAAACCAACGCAAATCCAGAATGTGACACTTCCATCAGCTGCCCTTTCCACTTCACAGGACTATGCGAATTTGCTGATATAAATAGACGCCTTTTACGTTCAGTTGCCTTTCATGCGAAGCCCTACAATGTCTTCATACTCGCCTGCGCCAAAACGCAATGACTCTTTTGGCCGTCAACTGACCGAAACTGCCACAGTTCATCAAGAAACGCCGTCCCCATGAGATCAATATGGAAGAACGCCGCAGAACGGAAAAAGGCGACGTTTCATGAAAACGACAATTATAATTGCCGTAACGAAGTTCTAGGTATGACATCTGCACTGTAACGTGCAAACAAACCTGGCCTTGAAGCATTGGCAGCACTCCTTCCGAGACATTGTCTTCGAAAGGCAACGCAAAGCCAAAGATTGCCTTCATAAGGATTGTTTTGGCGCTCTCGATGGATGTATCCAAGTATGTAGCCACGGCTCGCCGCCACAAATCCCGATTCTGGCTGTACAAAGCCAAACATGGTGTGTCAATATTCCTCTTCTTGGCTTCTCGAACCATAATGCTGACCACAGCAGTTTCTTGGTCGAACTCCACAGAGCCGTCTGGAGAAATTGCCTGCCGCGCTGCGCGAGTGAGGGCAGGGAAGGACACGTGCGGGAAGAAGTGCCGACGCATCGGTACTCCATCAATGAGCTTTTGCCGGGCCACCTGAGTTTGGAAACACAACTGTCAACCAACATGTGTGTACTTCGTTTTGTCAACAAGGAATTTGCAGCCCAATGATCTGAAGTTGTTTTGTTTGGCAGTTCAATGACATACTTGGCAGGTTTCTGGAACAAAGAAAGTGAACAAAAATCTGGCGCTTAGACGGGTTATAAGAATTTGTCGCGCTATGTTGCGAGGAAGGTGAAAAGAGGCATCTCCGAGAAACTTGTTTGAGGCTGATGTATCCACTCTCTTGCACAGCGCCCTCTCTTTGCGCCAGGTGTAAAAATCTTTGAAGCTGGTCTTGTCGGATGTCTTGCGCACAGGCGCTGTATGCTTTGAGCTTCTCCAGATCCAAGAGGCACTGGACCTCCCAAGGAGGACCGGCGTCGAAGCCAGAAGGTTCTTCGCCTGTCCGGAATATCAACGAATTCCAAGCGAAAAGTCTTATCGGCAGGATGTGTACTTAGAAAGCAAGAGAAGAGAAGAGGAGGACCGGGAAGGAAAGAAAGAAGTCACGCAGGTCGGACAAGGAATATGTGAAGTCAGCGATACAGGAATACAGGAAAATGCATCACATTGAGTCCACATCTCGCCTGAACAGAAAGGATCCCACGAAGCTTCACCTGTGACGTCCTCTGGCCAAGCCCAATGCTCCCAGGTTCCAAAGACTTCACAAGGCGCATCACATAGGCTACCGAGCGTACGCTCCATCTTAACCACATTCACGCTGCGACGTTGAAACTTCAAGGACTTGCCCGCAGGTTGCAGCACAGTGCGCGCCAAATGCGGCCAACGCAGGGATGCATCTTGCAAGCACTCGGACCGCAGGCGCTTCGTACTGCCCTTGGTTTTCTGTCCAACGCCAGGATTGCTGACCGCTGCGAAGCGGTTGACTGTGTAGGGAGGGAAAAATGACCAGTCATGGCTGCATGCACTTCGCGCACCAATTTCTCTGCTTGCACAATCTGTATCCGCTATGTCTTCTGCAGGGCCCGATGGATCAGAGTCCACATCTGGCGTTGTTGCGTCTGTCAGACGCACCATTCGTCGAAGGAACCATTGCGTGTCCTCCAAAACCATAAAGCCAGTGTTGTTGAGGAGATGTTACTCGAGGATTCTAAGATACTGAGTGAGACAAGACACAAACTCTTAAAAGCCACGCAAGGGGCCACAAAAACAACCTGCGTGGGTCTCACTTGTCCTTGGCAGTCTGGGCGTCTGGGTTGTCAGGAGAAAGGATGCGATAGCACTTATCCAGAGAGGTGTTCTGCACGAAGGGGGAAGACCCAGTCGTGATAAAAGGCCCACACTGCGGCTGAAGATGCACAGAAACTCTTTGCTTCAGTGTCTGCAAGGAAGCAGCATTCCTCGATGTTGACTTTTCGTGGATCATGCGTCAGCTCGTTCCGCATGTAGGTGCACAGAAACCTTCTACTGTGAGATGTTTCCATGGCCGCTGGCAGCAGCGGTATATCAGCGGAGTTGAGCAGCCAATTCTTCGCACAGTACTCAAAACTGATGTACTGTAGTGTGTTTCCTGCTCGTGGTTTCTTCTGAGGGGAAGCAGGCCACCAGAAATGAAGACCTTTAGCACGTCTTCTATCAGGCCAGCGCCCCTACGAGCCTCGTCGAAGCTCAGCATCATGCAATGGAAGAAAGCGTGACCCTGTTGCTGGAATTCTCTCTCCACCTGGCCGTATTCAGATTTAAAGGGCCTGGGATTGAACGCATGGTCATTATCAAAACAACGGTTGATTCTATCTCTTGCTCTGTCTTGAACATGCGGTTGGGAGAGACGGTCATCTCTAAGGTCATATCAGCACAAGCTCGTCGTCTTTGTAAACAAGAACACGGTGTAAAATTCAATAATAGGTGGCGCGGAAACAAAGCCCAAGCTCAAACAGCGTAACCCATTTCCTAAGTGCGTCTGCTGTTCTCTTCAAAACCCTCAAGGCTGCAAAAAAAAGGAGCCCATGCCTGCAAAAGAGAGCACGCAGGGTTTGCAAAGCCAGTGCCAAAAACAGCCTGCATCAAGTCCACTAGCACCATACTCTTGCCATCAGCCCCTCCACCGACAACACAGTGCATGATCTCTGGCTGACGTCTTCTAGATACTGCCAGGGCTATTTGTGCCAGAAGGATGTGAAGCCCATTTGTCTTCGCAAAGGTGCTCAGGAGAAGCGCGGCCAGGCGTTCTCGTGCATGATCCGGGGCTTTCCAAACAAGAGGGGCTGGAACAAGGACATAGCAGCCTCTTCGTGGATCTTTCTTCATTTGGCGCACTTTCCCCGCAGAAGTCGAAAGATAACCTGCAGAGGATCGATAGTTGGCTGTGCCGTGGGAAAGGGAGCCTCATATATCAGGCAATGTGAGGTGCGTCTGACAGCGTCCCCGCGGAATGAAAACTATCGTGGCGCGGGTACGACTTACTAGCAAGCCAGCAGCAATCCAGAAGCAGCAGCATGTCAGCAGCAAAGCCGTGACGACTGACAACTGTCAAAGGATCTTTCCATCTCACTGGCAGCAATGCAATTCTCAGAGGTATTGTGTTTAGGACACCCCCCCCCATCGTTTTCCGATGAAAAATTGAAGACATTGGCTGTATGCGACACAGAAGTTCAAGCTACATGACGTAGTTTTGTCTTTTACTCCTATGAACCCTTTGATTATGCGTTCGACTTGCAACATACAGGGAAGTAACGTCCGTTAATGTGCGTTGGTGTACTAGGGCAGTGACAATCCAAAAAAGCAATACCGGGCTTGCGCTTGCTATCCATCTTGGAATCACTCCAGCGCATGAAGTTACGGACAAGTGTTTTGGAGTGGTCTGCCAACTGCTTCCGGAGATCACGGGCAAGTTCTGCCAGTCCCAGCCACCATTGCTGCGAGCGCTGCTCAGGCTTGGCTCTGCTTACTTCTCCAAGCTGCCACTCTAGCAGTGGCCGCTCATCAGCCAAAGAAAAAACGACTTTGAGTTCCCAGACCACTGCAGCGAAGTCCCTTGGAACTTGGTTACCTTGGCCGTGCGCAGGGTGTGCAGAACAAGAATCTGACATTACAGGTCCAACATGAAAACTACTGGCTATCTGCAGAACCTAGGCTGTAGAATGCCAACCAAAAAGTCTGTACCAGTACCAGATATGCCTGCTAGGAACGGCCAACGGCCTGCACGAAGTAAGCTTGGGCTCGCCGTAAGGCCATGGTGAGAAACTCTAAGTCGGCAGCCGTCAGGGTGCCGCTCGAAGAAACTTGCCATGCCCCCTCTGCATAAGCAAACAATTTCTCTCCATGCGTTCTATACTTTTCTCCGAGAAGCAAAGTGAAGGCTTTTGTTTGAAGAAGCTCGGACTTTCCGTCATCTGCACACTGGTCCAATAGCAACAGGGTAGCTTGCGCCGCAGCACGGCGTTGCTGCCAATCATCAGAGAGGAGTTTGTTGGTCCAACCAAAGGCATTGTCTATCTTATCCCGCAGGAGATCCATCGTGTCACTGAGACTCTTTGCCTGTCTTTCTTTGTCAACGGATAAGCTGAGATCTCTATTCTCGAGCGGGCCTAACATATCCATGCCCTGCGGTTTCCACAAGGAGGAAACCGGTGCAAAGAATGCATCCTTTGGATGGTCGATGTTGCTCGCAGAAGAGATCTCCGACGCCGTCAGCTCATACGGCAACTCTAGTCCAAGATGTACATGCGTCAGCACAGATTCGTCCACTTCTGCGGCCGCTCTGTTTCTATCATATTCGGTCGCAAAATCTTCCATGGGGCCCTGGACCCTGGAGATTCAAAGATAAAATGGTGAGAAGTCCTGTGTGTTGTTTTGTTGTCCATCCAATGTCTGGTTATCATGCCAGTCTGTGGTGTATCTCTCTTCTCCTGTACGTTACTTTTGTTGCGCGGGATCATCTCCATTGTGCCGAAAATCTTCGATTGTTACACAACTGGGAATGATAAGTCTCTTATATTGTTAAGTGTCTGAGAAGTGTTAAGTGTTCTTTTAGTCATACGGAGTGTGATTGTCTCCACTCCAAAGATCCTGTTCTTTTCCAATTGTCTTGTATTGTTTACTTGTTGTGTTCAAAGTTGTCTTTTATTGTTTTAACTACTTGTGTGCCGCGTGGTCCGGAACTGTCCAACGAACGGCCCCCCCCCCCCGGTGGGTTCAACTCCCCCCTGGGACGCCTCTGGGACACCTCTCGGGCACCTCTTATGGCATCCACTTTGGTTTAACTCCTCCGGGATACGGTGCAACAGATTCAACAAGCTCACAGGTTCGTAAACACATCGGATGCATCGAATAGTGTGGCAAAGTCCAGCCACGCTTCCTTAATTATCGGGGACTTCAATTCTAAGGTTGGCTGTGTCATTGCTGTTTGTGTGTCTTACATGTTCACAACGTTTTACTTCATGAGCATTTGCCTCAATCCGGTTGATGTCCCACCAGTCCGGATGCACCCCTGCTAGCTTTCGTCACCTACCCTCGGCCTCAAGTAGCAATTGATGATCACAGGGGAGAAAGGAGTGAAGCAGAGAACAACAGCAAAAGAAATAATACAAAATCAAGAAGAACATAGCACAAAAGCAACGAACTGCACACGGAAGAAAGGAGAAAAGGGCGAACCGGAAACGAATGTGGCGCAGATCCTGGCGTGCTGGCAAATCACCAGTTCTCTGGGTGCAACTACAGTGACACACAACTGCCACCAACCACCTTCTTTTGGGCGGAGCCTGACCAAAAAAGTTGTTCTTGGACTTAGACTTTTGCAAGTTTTGGGCCCAGCCACGTGACACCAGAAAAGAGAGAGAAGAGAGAGTGTTGTTAAAACACAGTGCAAAGGTGTAAGCACTTCCACGTGTTAATTAGAAGATGTTCACAGTAATGGAATAATATGAAATGGAATGCCTATCGTTTGGTGAGTTCCATTTTTAGAATCACTGCTTTTAGGGGTCCAAGTGCTTCCGAACAATTTTGGTAATGCTGGCCATACGGCCACACCTTCATGTGCGGCGCCATGCGCTGCAGTTTCTTCGGTTCCATTCCAAAGTAGTGACTTGCTCGGAGCTTTTGATCTACGGAGCCAACACTGATGTGGGGAAGACCGTGGTGAGTGCTGCTTTGTGCCATTATTTGATCACCAGAGGACATGCGGTGACCTACATTAAGCCTGTTCAGACAGGCAGTGAGACGGATGCCGACGCGATCTCCAGACTCTGCACCGCGGAAGGGCTCAGCAATATCGCGTTTGAAACGCTCTTTCACTATCCCTCGCCAGAATCTCCAGCCAGTGCGGCTGAGAAAGCTGGAGTGACGGGGCAGGAGCTAGACCAAAGATAACCAAAACATACCAAAACGTGAGTCTCACCGTGGCCCACAGTTTTTCAACAGACACAGCTTCACTCTTACTCTTGGAGAAGCTGGGAGATGCGTTACGCATTCTTTTCCCCCAAGAATTTATATTAATTTCCACCTGGCATGCTGTACGGCTCGCTTGATCCAGTGGGGCTAGAAGCACACAAATCGTTTTTCTTCGCGAGTGTGATTGTAGGCTTCACTTGGCTGCACTTGAGGTCATAGGCAAGAGCTTTTGGACATGCACGACCAACCAATGCGGTCACGTCCGCTCATGGATGGGCTCAAAACCATCAAGCCCATGGGGCTGTTCGGCGCGCGACAGTGAAAAGCTGCGGTCGCGCTGGGATTCGTTTTCCATGCAAAGCTACCCACAGTGGTAGCGGAGCATGGCTAGTGCCATGGCGGGGGCAACGGCTTCAGCGGCCGAGGCATCCGAGGGCGGCAGCACTTCGCCCGTTCAATCTCATGGAGGACGGGAACGAGATCTTCCGCCGGGCTTCGATGGAGGAGATCCGACCGCGTTCAAACGATATGAACGCGACATCAGGCTGTGGCAGTTCGATACCGACGTGCCCAAGTCCAAGCACGGGGTTCGCATGTTGAGGACACTGACAGGACCTGCTCGAGCCGCCGCCGAGGAGGTTCCACTGGACGACCTGCTAGGAGAAGGGGGCAGTGCTGCGATCATGAAGAAGTTGAAGGAACACTTTGCCCCGTACCTCGAGAGTGCGCTCCCTCGAGCATTCGAACGTGCCGTGTACTCGGAGGCACGGAAGAGCAAGGAGTCACTCCAAGAGTACATCATCAGGCAAGACGCCGCCTTCAAGGAGCTGAAGGATGAGGGGGTTCAGCTGGACGACATCGTGAAGGGTTACATCATCTTCAGGCACGCCAATCTGACCCAGGTCCAAGAAGATCAGGTCACCACGTGGACGGCCGGGAAATACAGCCGAGAAGAGGTAATCAAGGCTCTGAGGCGGCTGGAGAAAGTTCATCATGACAAAGGGAAGCACTACCTCACGGCCGACGACGAGGGTGAGGTCTATCACCTGGAGACGCCCGACGGCATCCCATTCGATGAGGACGAGGAGAACTATGTATGGGTCAACGATGGAGATTTAGAGTCAGAGGAAATCTTCGATGAGGCCGAACTTCACGAGGCCCTAGCCACCTACCAGGAAGTCAGACGAGCTCTTCGTGAACAGAAGGTGCAACGAGGCTGGAAGGGAAAGAACAAGAGCAAGGGCGGTGGCAAGTCCAAAGCGACAGGACCCTTTCGTAGCCAGTCCGAGGCTGGAAGCCGCCGGGTGCACATAGACATGCTCAAGCTGCGCACGAAGTGCGCTCGATGTGGACAGATCGGTCATTGGGCCAAGGAGTGCACCGGATCTCCCGATGCACACGCCCGCAATCGTAGCGTCGTAGCAGCGAGAAGGAGGCTGCCAAGACTGGATTCTTCGTGGCTAGCGAGAAATCCGAGACCTACGCGTGCTGGGAGGGCTTTGAGGACTCGTCCGTGTTCCATGTCACTCTAGGCGAATGTCTTCCAAACCGATGTACCACTCCGTTCATTGGAATTCAAACGGAGTCACAACAAGGGGTGGTAGACACGGCAGCTCAGTCTGGACTCATCGGTGAGAGGGCACTTCGTCGCTTGGAAGAAAGTTTGAAACCCCACCAGCTCAAAGGCCTTTGGACGGGGAAGAAGGCTCAGGCACGAGGTGTTGGTGGTGAGGCCCAGGTCATTGGTGTGATCGAGCTTCCACTCGGTCTTGGTGGAATCTCTGGCGTTTTGGAATGCACAGTGGTCAAAGAGGACGTTCCTTTGCTACTCCCCATCAGGCTTCTTCCGGACCTCCGGGCGGTAGTAGACTTGGGGAAAGATCAACTGGTGTTGAAAGAGACGTGTACGATCCCCATGAACCAGCTACCCTCTGGACACGCTTCGATCGACGTTTTGGACTTCGGGACTACCGGATGGCAGTTACCTCGGGCAGCACACGGCGTCGGAAGAAGAGCAGAACAATTTCATCTGTGTGTGGTGCGTGATGAAGCCATGAGTGGAACGAGAGATCGACACGCCTGGAGCCCCAATCCCGACTGTGGACATCACCCACTGTGCCATGGAGCTGATGCGCCGCTTGCGAGAGATGGACAGCAAGGACCAGCAGGGCAACATGGAGACCACGGAGTCGGCACGGGGCTTGTTGCACTGGCGGTGCATGGGAAAAAGGATGCTGAACCTGGTCCGAGAGTCAGAGCAAGAGCCAAATGGTGCTGGTGGAGAATGACGAGGCGGAGGGCATCGACCCGGAGGACTTGATCGACGGAGCTCAAGCTGAGGAGGAGAGGCTTGAGCGGATGCAACCCACCGCTGAGGCAGAGGAAGGGGCAGAAGGTGATGAACGGGAGCAACAGCCCCTGCCGTGCGGAGTCAGCAGAAGAGAGAAGGACCTCATCAAGAAGCTGCGCGTGAACTTGGGGCATCCGAGCCGTCAAGACTTTCATCGAGCTCTGAGGATGTCAAGGGCGAGGCCGGAGATCCTAGCCTATGTGAAAAGGGAGTTCCACTGTGATCACTGTGAGGAGCATCAACCTCCACGGAGCGCTCGACCAGCAACAATCCCCAAGACCTATGCGCCCAATCGAGTGGTCGGGGTAGATGTGGTCTTCATGCCAGCTTTGAACCCCAGGGAGACGAAGCCAGTATTGAACATAGTCGACTGGGGAACGTGCTATCAAGCGCTGGAACCTGTGGAGGATATGACCTCTGATGCCATCTGGATGAGCTTTCTACGAGGATGGGTTCGAACCTTCGGCATGCCCGAGATGATCGCGATGGATCAAGGCCGGGAGTTCATTGGGAGCTTTGCGCAGAGAGCCTCAGAGTATGGCGGCTTGGTGAGAACTATTGGGGCTCGCGCTCCATGGCAGAACGGTCGCACGGAACGCCACGGAGGTCTAGCAAAGGGGATCTTCATCAAGACGGGCAACCAAGTCGGCATTGCAAGTGCCATGGACTGGGAAGAATGTCTGAGGAGTGTGGAAGCCGCCAAGAACAGGTTATTCAATCGATCCGGCTACAGCCCAGCTCAGAGACAGCTCGGACAGAACCTTCGACTACCGGGCACCTTGGGAAGCGATGATCCCTTCGAGGTAGGCTTGATACAGGGTGGAGCAAATGAGGAGATGTCAAGGACCCTGGAGATCAGGCAAGCGGCACTCGAAGCATTCGTGAGGTACACGACGGAAGCCAGCTTGAGGAAGGCGTCGCAAGCTAAGTCCCGGGGAACAAGAACATTCGTCCCAGGCCAGATTGTCTATGTGTACCGGAAGCCACTTCCACGACGAGGAGCCGCTCCCGCTGGAACCAGAGCATGCTGGTGCGGTCCAGGCACACTGATCATGTTGGACGGTCGCAATGCCTGGGTATCAATGAAGGGCGAGCTGTGGAAATGTGCTCAGGAGCAGATGAGACTTGCTTCGTCAGAAGAGGAGGAGGCCATGAATCTGCTGAAGGAGGAGTTCGACGAGCTCAAGGAGCAACTGAGACGGGGCGAATCGAAGAGGGGGTTCAAGGACATCAGTCAATGGGAGAACCCAGAAGAAGAGGAAGAGCCTCCTGCACAACGAAGACGAATGGAAGAACCGGCTCCACCGGGTGAAGAAGCACTTCCACCCGCAAGCAATGAGGCTGGTGGAGGAGGATCGACGGTAGAAGAGGAGCCGGAGCAGGAGATGTCAGAGAACGCGGATGAGGATTCAGCCATCAACGTGCGCCCGGAACATCTGCAGGAGGCCACGGAGTCAGTCGTGAGGAATGAGAGACTGGATGGAACCCTTTCTAGGGGAAGAGGAGCCTATGAACCCATTCGCCGCAGACTGGCAAACATCAGGTGGCGTCCATATGAAGATGAGCTATATGTCATGGACGAGGACGACGAGATCCCAGAGGAGCTTGAGAGAACGGAGTGCCATTGGCAAGTAGATCTGAAGAGGAGGAAACTGATCTTCCATCACGGAGAAAACCGAACCAAGTTGTTCCACCCCTCAGAGACACGATGCCCTATTCCTTTGAGTTGCTTGTCTTCACAGCGGAGGACGGTGAGGCTGCACGAGGACGGAAGCAGGACGATGTGTCGTGGAGATTGGCGAAGGCCTAAGTCCTCACACGAAGAGTGCGGACCAGTTCGAGACTGGGTGGGCTACACGGAGTTCCACGTGAAGGCGAAAGTGAACCTCGAGAAGTACCACCAGATCTGGATGGCGAAGAAGAGCAGCGATGAAGTCAGGGAGGAGGACATTCCAGCAGAAGAATGGCCGCAATGGAGGGAGAGCGATGGAGCGGAATGGTCAAAGGTGGCCCAGACTGGCGCTGTGGTGGCGTTGAGTGAGGAGGAGTCGCTTGTGATCGAGAAACAGCTCAAGGAGGCAGGACTGAGCAGTAGGATACTGCCCTCTAAAATGGTGAGACGATGGAAGCCATCAGAGCAACCTGGCGTTCCACCTTCCCGCAAATCAAGGTGGTGCATTCGAGGAGACAAAGATCCAGACCTGCTGAGCCTCAACCGCTATGCACCAACAGTGACTACTGCCGTGGTGAACGTGGCGTTGCAGCTGGCGGCCAACAGAGGATTCCAAACCTACGTGGCCGACTTGAAGAACGCGTTCATGCCGTCAGGCAGGCTGGTGCGAGAAAGCGGGCGACTATTTTGCCGTCAACCCAAAGGAGGTCTACCAGGACTTAAGCCCGGTCAGCTGATAGAGATCATGGCTGGAGCCTATGGACTCGGAGATGCACCGGCTCACTGGCGCAAGAGTGTTCGAGGTGCCTTGCTGGAGTTGGGATATGAGCCGAGTGTCATGCATAGGAAGGAATGAGCAGGGCAACAGAGAGCTTGCAAGGCCTGGTGGTTGTGGAGGTGGATGACCTGCTGTGCATGGGCACCGAAGGCCACTATCAAGTGTTGAAGAAGCTGCAGGAGAAATTCACCTTTGGGAAGTTCGTGGACCTGAGGAGTCAAGAAGAAGGAGTGCCTTGGACATGGAGAAGTTCATCTTGGAGCGATTGCATCCTGTTCCATTCACCCTAAATGGAAGGAAGAAAGATGAGGATGCTACAGAGCAGGAGAAGAGTGATGCAAGAGCGTCGATTGGGGCATTGACATGGGCAGCCAAGGAGGGAAGACCAGACTGTGCGGCTGGAGCATCAATCATAGCAAGCTGTCTCAACAAACTCAAGGTCCAAGACGTCATTGACCTCAACAAGACGATCGAAGAGGCTAAGGTCCATGCGGACCTGACGGTGACGATTCAGCCAATCGAGGAGGAGAAAATGTGCGTTGGAGTGGTGACCGACGCGTCGTATGCCAATACTGAGGCCTACTCCTCGCAGGGCGGCTTTGGCATCTTGTGCTATGACGGAGAGCTTGAAAAGAATGGAGTGGGCCGAGGTAATCTGCTGTACTGGAAGTCCGCCAAGATCCACCGCATTGTGAACCCAACGCTGGCGGCAGAAACCCAGGCTTTGGCAAAGGGGCTCCAGGAACTAGCCTGGAGTATCACAGTGTACAATGAGATGGCCGATCCCGAGTTCGACTTGAAGGGGTGGGAAAAGAACGCCAAGCAGAGGCGTCTGATGGCAGTGGCCCGGGAGAACGTCGACGAGACCTTGCGGCAAGGGCTGTGCCTGGTGGATGCGAAGTCACTGTTTGACCACTTGGTCAAATCCACGGTGGGAAGCACAGACGACAGGCGCACCGCCATTGAGATGCAGCTGGTTCGTCAAAGCATGCAAGAGACAGGCACTTGTGTACAGTGGATCAGCCACAAGAGAATGATTATCGACTGCTTGACAAAACGGTTCGGGAATAAGGAACCGTTGTACCAATTCCTCAAGAGCGGTCTTTTGAATTTTTCTCAAGTACAGCCAACATAAAATGTTGGGAGCCTGTGGTTGTAGGCTTCACTTGGCTGCACTTGAGGTCATAGGCAAGAGCTTTTGGACACGACCAACCAATGCGGTCACGTCCGCTCATGGATGGGCTCAAAACCATCAAGCCCATGGGGCTGTTCGGCGCGCAACAGTGAAAAGCTGCGGTCGCGCTGGGATTCGTTTTCCATGCAAAGCTACCCACAGCGAGTATATATTGGTTTCAACGTCTGCGTTCCGCGTTCTGTCCTATCATGCGCGGCCATGAAGTGAGCAAAAGGACCTGATCTTGCACGCTAGGGGGCCCTCACCCTCACAATGCCCACCAGTTGAGAGTTTACATGAATTTACAACACACTTTTCTCACTCGGGTCGTCTGTGTTTACTTCCCTGATTCTTCTCTATCCCGGCAAGGGAACCCAAACAGTGTGTTTAAAGGTACTATATAAGGTCTAGAGGTGTAGAAGCAGAAGGTCTAGAGATCTAGACGAATTGGGATCCAGAGAGTGATGGTGGTGATGGTGGGGGTGAACCGAAGGTCTAGGTCTAGGTTAGGTGAAGGTACTGTAAAAGCAGCGAGGTAGCCGGACATGCCGATGAGCACCTCCAGACACCGGTCCTTAAGTTACCACCAGAACCCCCAGTGTGGACACATGTTTTTGGAAAGAATCGGGGAGGGGCGAGTATTCAAGTTTTTGGCAGATCTCCAGCTTCCGACCACGATTCCGACCACGTGAGCTCCTTAGGCCATCCCTCCCGAAGATGCAGCCTTCCGCCAAGCCGTCGTCGAAAGCCTGGCCCGCGGAAGCTTGACGGCGCCTCGCTTCCGCTTGGTGGAGACGGCGGGAGGGCCCCTGAGCCCTGGTCCGAACCATACCTTTCAAGCTGACATCTATGCAGCTTGGTGGCAGGTGAGAGGATCGCCCGTTCTTCTTTTCATTCCCAGACCGATCTTCAAGACTTTGCCTCACCTGGCCGCATACTCATACTCTCACACTGAAAGGCTTGTTGCATATGCAGTGAGGGCAGCGCACAGCTTGCCCCACAATCATTTTTTGTTGGCCTTGCGGTCTTGCGTGGACAGAGGCGTACCGTATTTGTATCATTGTGTATCTATTTGTTCAAGTCTTGTACTTACAGATCCGTCAGATTCCTCATACGCCATCTGGATCTGAGAGCCAGTCACAAATCGCTTAGATTCCCCAGCTTTACACAGGCTATACACAGGCAATCCGAGTGAAAGCGGCTTGGCACTGCACAGGCACCTCTTGGCTTGACCAGTCTGCTGGTGGGCGATGCGCGCCTGGGTGGCATCTCTGCCACGGTGTGCGCCTATGAGGCGCTCAAAGCACGAAAGCAAGCTCCTAAGATGATCCTCTTTGTGGGCAGTGGCTTGGGAACAGAGTTTGGTCCAATTTTGTTCTTTCCATATTTTTGACTTTGCTGAGGTAATGCGCAAATTGATGACAGGCTAGATTACTCTAAGCTTCTGGCCATAGGATCGCAACATGACTGGGTGTTTCCCATGTGCTCGAGGGAGTCACAACTCTCACGCGGTTTTCTTTTTTGTTTGCAAGCCATGTGCAACTGGCCAGGTGAAGGGCAGCACAGCAACGCCGTTGCGGTGCAACGAGCCTTGCCTGAGGTGCCGGTGGTCTCTATCCCACAGGTGCCGCCCCTGAGCGAGCCCTTGACCAACTGGGTGGCCTTGAAGGATGTGGCTGACGGAATGTCGCAGGTGCTCAGGGTGATGAAGGGCGAGATTCCGGGTGATGAGGAACATTTGCAGGGTGCAAAGCAAGAGGTGCAAGTGGAACATCTTCAGATTGATCAGAACCACTTGTGGCACCCTTACACCAGCATGGTGAAGCCTGGCCGCGTGTGGTCGGTGCGATCTGCGGAAGGCTGTCTCATCCAGCTGGAGGATGGAAGACGTTTGGTGGATGGCATGGCGTCGTGGTGGTGCGCCATCCACGGCTACAATGTGCCGGAGCTGAATGCAGCAGCTGCAAATCAATTGGGCCAAATGAGTCATGTGATGTTTGGAGGTCTGACCCACCGTCCTGCCACACTTTTGGCCAAACAGTTGCTGGACTGTGCGCCTGAGGGTCTCACACAGGTTTTCCTGTGCGACTCCGGGAGTGTCAGCGTGGAAGTCGCGCTGTGGCTAGGCCCTGGTTGCATGCTGTTTTCATATGTGTTCAGGTGTCCTGAAAGGCTAGGTCTTCGGCGTGTCTTGAGACTGACAAAGGAAGAAGTATGCATGATCAGCTTGGCCATCCCTTTTGCGACGTTCAACTTGGCCCTCTGACCCTCTGAGGAAAATGTCGCTTCAATACTGGGCCATGAAAGGAAAGCCGTCCAAATGTCGTATTGCGACGGTGCAGCGTGGCTACCATGGCGACACCTTTGGCGCCATGTCGGTGTGTGACCCGGTGCGTGGTATGCATACGTTATTCAAAGGAGCTTTAGCTCAGCAGCTCTTTGCAGAGCCTCCGGAGCTATCGACAGACTGGAGTACTGGCGACGATGGCTTCTCGAGCATGGAAAGCCTGCTGAAGGAGCGCCACCAGGAAGTGGCAGCAGTGATTATCGAACCGGTGGTTCAAGGTGCTGGGGGAATGCGTATCTACAATCCCTCCTACTTGCAAAAGCTCCGCCACTGGACTTGGACTTGCTGAAGATTTGGGGTCGTGATGACAAGGTTGAATGAGAGGGGCGGTGTTGACGGCACATTGTTTCTGAATTCTTCGATTGCTTTTTGTGGGCTTCCATTTTGGCATGGAAGGAGTCCACAAATCCCAGAAAACATCAAGAAAGGCACTGTGACAAAAATAAGTACAAAAACCACATGTTTCATCTTTCTGATCAGCTGAGCTTTGGGTTCCACGATGTTTCCCGACTTCCTCAGGTAAGCTTTGTGATGAGCTGGACGTGTTGCTGATTTTTGACGAGATTGCTACGGGCTTCGGGCGCACTGGGAAGCTTTTCGCTGCGGAGCATGCCCAGGTGTCGCCGGACATCATGTGCATCGGCAAGGCGCTGACAGGCGCTGCGGGCGATTGAGTTCCTGCTCTTTTTTTCTTTGTGGCTGTGTTCCGCACATGTGAATCTGTCTAGTCTAGACTGTATATGTATGGTGGCGCAAGACCAACCAGTCGTGATAGTCACCAATCACTTGGATTGTTGTAGCCATAGTGGCTGCGCTTGTAGTCCACTGGATGCTTGGAGCATAAACCAATAAACCATAACAAACCAGATGTAGTAGCACCTTTTGTGCTCCACAACTGGTCCAAAGACGTGTTTTGCCGAGGTGGCTACTGCACCCTAGGTGCTGCCATTGCTTCAGAGAAGGTGAGCCACGGAGTGAGCGGCCCGGACGGACGGCAGCCGCTGATGCATGGACCTACCTTCATGGGAAACCCGTTGGCATGTTCGATTGCAGCTGCCAGCATCCAACTGCTGCTGGATGGTCCATGGCATTCACGTGTGAAGAGCATCGAGGAGCTTTTCGCGTCGTGCATGTGATCGCGTCCGATGGTCCTGTAAGTGTCCGATGGTTTTCTATGTGATCTTGTTTGTTTCACAGGGGTTCTTTGACATTCACGATGCTGGATTTGATTGCTGGCTTCTTTGCAGCAGGTTTTTGGGCCAACCTGACTGACTTGTTATCCACAAACGAACGACGCTTGTTCGATCACTGTAACTCTTTGTTGTGTTTTCACCCCCTGATTGGGTGCTTCGAGTGCAGCCAAGCCGCTTGGCTTGGCCGTTCACGGGAATCAGTTACACTAGATTCATCGTATAGATTCTTTATATATAGATACTGATGTGTCCGATGCAACTGGACTCGTCAACTTTCTACCAATTGAAGCACGACGGAGCACGACTCGTCAGCTTTACTCACAGGAGCAGCTTGTCCGGGAGCTACGACCCTTGGCAGCCTATGCGGAAGTGGAGGACGTCCGTGTGCTGGGTGCCATTGGAGTGGTGGAGCTGAAGACTGCTCCTGCAGAGCCACAGAAGCTGCAGGCCATGGGTGGATATGACAGTAGGGTCACGGTAGATCAGGTGTGCTTTCTTATCATTGTTTTAAGATGTTTGAAGAGTATTATACTGGGACTCAAGTGACCCAGGATTAGCCGGACAAGGCTGCAGAAACACTAATCCTAAGTCATTGGGAACTGTGAAAATTTGAAACTTTAGCACTAGTCCTAAGTCATCAGGCTAAAACAAAGAAAAACGCGGCGAAAAATGGTTAGCTCCGGAGATTGTTTGATCATATGATGCAGGCGCCTGGAGGTGCCTCGTACACAAGTCCTAAGTCATCAGCATTTAGTTTGGACTGGGTTTGTACCGTGCACTTTGCCGTTCGCTGATGACTTAGGAGTTGGGAACCGCTAATCCTAAGTCACTGGTAGCGACAAGTCCTATGTCACCGGTACCCAGTATAGCGTGGTAGGTGCAGCAGGGCTAACAGTTACGTTTCATGGAGCATCAGTGGTGGACAAACTCTTGGATAAATTTGAGCAACTACATGGCATAGCGGTGTGGATGGCGTAGCTGTGTGTTGCTTGGGCGAGGTGGTGCAGTATCCTTCTTTCTTTGGACGCAAGCTCCTGTGAAGTTGACTTGTTGGTATATAGAGTCTCCTGAAAGAGCTTTTCAATTCCAGGTTCCAAACGTACCCTTCAGCATCTCCAACTTTTGAGTTGAACAAACCCACAGTGTTCCAAACAGAGGCGGCCTTGGTGGATCAAGGGGTTTGGCTACGACCTTTTGGCCGTACGATCTACACAATGCCCCCGTGCCTTCTTTCGAACGAATGGGCAGGTGGGAAACAGGACCTACCCAAGCGGACAGGTTGGGATGAGGACTTGTTTTCTGTCGGGGCACGTGAGCTACAAACGGATCGGATGAAGCGTGGACTTGACCTTGTAAATGTCAAGAACCCCATGAGGCATCTTCTCCAAGCAATTCTATTGCTGGTCGGATGTAGGTCATGGACCGAATGGGCTTTCATGAAATCACCTTCCCAATTTCGTTGATCATCCTTCCTGAAAAGCACCTCCATTTCCAAGCCATGATGTCCGTTTGCAAGCCGCGTGCCACCACTCAGCTTCATCTGCTTTGTCCCACATCGACCGAGGTTTGTCATCTCGTCTGAGGAGCTGAGCCGCATTTCCGGTGCCATTGCATCGGTCTTGGACGCCCACATACCGCGGTCTGCGGAGTGAAAAGATTGGGGAAACAGCAGGGAAGAACGACACATGGTGGGACGTGGTTTGACCGTTGGATGAACTAGACTAAGCGCAACAAATACCGTCGAAATAATTTTCTGCTTTAAAAGAGAATCGATTTTGCTTGCCCCCTGGTGGTGCTTCAACAAGCGTCATCACAGCTTTTCTGATGCAGTTCCCTACCACTCAGATTTCTTTTCCAATCGCATGCTCAGCGCTGTTGTACAATATACAGCAAAGAAGAGTGCACATCACACAGAAGTCTACACACAGAAGTCTACTTTATAATTTACAATATGGATGCTTGTATTGTATTGTATTGATTGATGTTTTCAGTCAACTTCAGTCCAAAGTCTGTCCATTTGCCTATCCATGTAGTCCGATCTTGTCCTAATTTGTCCTATCTACTTTTGGCCTCCATGTTCGTCCCCAACCTCCCAGAGAAACAAAGAATTCAAATTCAATCGTTGATCTACCCATTGGTCAACACTCCTTGGGCTGAGGAGTTGGAACCCAAGAACTCTGCAGTGCTCAGTGGCCGTGGCGCGTGCGAACTGGAGCTTGGGCAAAAGGTGGAGGCCGACTGATTGATGAATGGAACAAGCGGTACCCTGGTACCCTCGATTGGACTGGGTGGCGGCAACTGGTGGCGGAAAGGATGTAGATAGAAAGGATTGAATATGTGGAATGACCTGCAAAGTGGACTTTGATGTAGACATTGAATTGGCGGTGCAGCTCTACTTCTGGACGGGTCTAGTATCACTTCCTTTTGGGACATGGCACCACGCTACCCATCCCCCACAGATGTTTCCTCCATGTCTCAGTGGTTGTTTGCCTCATGCTACCCTGCTAGTCGTTCGCATCCAATAGATTCAGATAGAGCAGATAGTGCAAACGGATGATGCCAAGATCGTGTGACCGATATTGGAGTCATTGACGTTTGCGCATGTGATGTAGCTTCCAACATGTTTTGAGCGTAGATTTCCTGTGGTGCTGATGTCGACCATTGTGCCCCTCCAGGCTGCGGTGGATTTCCGAAATGCGTTGGCCCGGCATCCCTGGCCGAGGTGGTCGCGATCTGTGTAGGGACTTCAGGACGTTTTCCGGTTACAGCTTGAAACCAGAAACTCAGAGCAGAGGCTATTGCATTCCTCCGGACTAAGGAGTTCCATCTCACATTGTTGCACATCGGGTGGGTCAAGAATCTTTTGCGCCAAAAATGATAGGAAACAGGGCCCAAACTAGTGGTTCCACATAAATGTAAGAGTTCGATAAGAGCCACATTCACATGTCTCTGTAAGTCAATCCAGGTCTGACAAACTGTTAAACGACTACAGCAATTTTGACGATGTGCCCATACCAGCTAGAGCTTCAATGACAACAGCGACAGAGCAGCATACAATATCGTAGATGTCTATACCCCAATGCAAGCACATGCTCAAACCGTTTACTTGGAAGCCATACTGTATATCGCAGAAAGCCGTACCCGTATCGCGTTTCTGTGCCCTGAGGTCTCCAACCCCAAGGATGCCTTCGCACGGGCGTGGTTGGTGAAGGTTCGGGAGGTGTATCACTCAGCTGCTGCGCTTCTCGTGAGATTTCGGTTCTTGTTTGGAGCGGTCCTCCTCTTTCGTCGTTTCGGTGCCACGTTTGGACTGCTTTTCGGTACTCGGAGGGAAGTGGCCGTGGTCGCGCTTTTCAGCGAAGCCCGGCTGAGGAGATCCGGGCAGAGGTCGCCAACGGACAAGCCTTAGATAGTCCAAAGAGGAGTCGCCTTGGGCTGCGTGTGTATCTTCAAGAGGGTTTCATCGCGTTTCATCATGTGTCATCCAACTTTTTGTAAATGAGGGTCAGCTTTATCATGCTCTATCCACATATTGTCACGACGTTGTCAATGATGTCTTTGAGTTCTCCCTTGATCACGCATAAAAAGACCCTTTGAACTATAGACTCCACGGGCGATTCGAGAAACAATAGGGAACGCTCTAATCCCAACCACAGACTTGACTGCATCTCCAAATAAATATCCAAATGGTTCCTCAGTATCCATAAATTTTTGGTGGGAAGAGACTCGGCACCAGGTGATACTCTAACCCTCTCACCTTTGCTCAATCTCATCGTCTAGATCAGTGGCCGCCAGGATCCCACAGACACCGATGGCTCTACAGCCGCACGTGAAGCCGCCCCGACAAAGGGTCCGACCGGTGCTTCGAGCACCGGCTGAGCTTCCACCAGGGCCAAGAGCGCCTGTGCCCATCATCGAAGCCAGCCCGATCAGTCCAGAACAAGCAGCAACAACTGAGGCCAGTGCTCATGAGGCCCAGCCTGCCCAGGAGCCTGGTGAGGATGCTGAAGCCCTGGCCTTTGGCGGCGCTACAGGTAGTGAGGCACCCACCGCTCTGCCGGAAGCACCCGCCGCTGTCGTGCCAGCAGCATCCACCCAAGAGACCGCAAGGAGGCCGGAATCTCCTCAGTCCGGAAGCCTCGAAGCTGGCGAAGTGCACAAAGCTCCACCGCCGACCTCAGATGCACAGGACGCAACCCCGATCGCAGAGGCGCCACAAGTGGAGAGAAAGAGATGCTGTACCTTGGGTGTAGGGATTAGCTTAGTAGTGCCAGTGAACAAGTTCCGCGTTTTTGAGGAACAAGGGAGAGAACTCTTTGATTCTTCAACTGGCAGCCTGTGATTTGTGGCTTCACGAGCATCTTACTCGTATGTACTATGTATCCCTTTTTATGCCCTTCATGGATCTTTATGGAGCCAGCTGCAGTGAGGTTGGACTGGTTTAGCGTGTGTGCAGCATGTCTGTTGTGCTGATTGGCATCGCCCAATGATGTGGAATCATGGTTGTGCAGGTGTTCTCCATTCCTCAGATGGACCCTACCCAAGAGCCGGCGCCTGTGTCAGTTCCTGAGCATGGTTTGCAGTAAGAGCCCCTGGAAGATGGAGTTGATTGTGCAATAAGATCAGTCACCTGAGGCGGCGCAGCGCGAGATTGCAGGCAAAGTTGCAGGCAAAGGCACTTCCAGAGAGTGCCAATCTCCGCTGAACATCAAGACCAGTGCTATTAGTATCATGCACCTAGGTGGTGGGGGTGAAACTGTGAGGCAACAGCTCATCCACCCGGAGTGAAGCCAAAGGCTAAAGCCAAGACGAAGGCCAAGGCCGGAGCCGAGCCGGGATGACACACTATTGGCAGAGTGGCAGCCACACCATGACTCGCAGGTTGCTCGCAGCTTGGGACAAAAATAGGTCGTCTACTATAGAGCCTGGTTGTTGCCTTTCATTTTGCAATGGATGATTTCAGCAAACGCGGTGGCTCGTGGCTAGTGCCCTTGATGCTGTATATAATTATAGTCAATTTCAAAGAGTTTCCCTTTGGAGCATGTATATATACCGGCATTTTTGTATGTCAAGACTAAGACCATGGTGAAAGCACATGTTAAAATGCATTTCACATGTCAAGAATGTGTGTTTTTCCTCAGCAAGCATTGATTTATAGACTCTAGACTCTAGACGGAGATTGACCAGCTGATGCAGAACAAATATGCTCCCATGGTCTACCACAGTGTCAAGACTATGGCTGCATGAACTATCCAAAGCTCCAAAAGAGTCCAACATAGGATTTTGGCATCCGGACAAGACAGTGGTGAACGAAGAATTATCTGTGCCTGACGTCCAGCTTGGTGCCAAGACTACAGCTTAGAAAACAATTCAAATCACAAAAACACACCGGGCAAGATAGCCGGTAAAAACACGTGTAAATGGAAGGTGGACAGCACGCTCCGAGTCAGATAACAGGCAACAAAATACGATTTTGCCTGCAAACAAGTGTCATCGCGGGCATGGTAAAGCAGACATGTCAGGTATCAACTAGAAGGTGAAAATGCTGTTTCGTGAATATCAATACTATTGAGAAAGCGATGGCTGACACGATTTCGACAGTACTCCGGCCAACGTCAAGACTTTGGAACTAACTATAGATGTAATTAGGACATATGCTATACCATTTCAGACACTCATATATGCCCACCTCGGCCGCGCGGTCAATACTGGCACTTCTCACCGCGAGGCCAAACCCGATCCACCTGGAGTGAAGCCAAAGGCCAAAGCCAAGCTGAAGGCCGTAGCAAAGGCCAGGGTCCTGGTGGGGAACCGGTGTGCACTGGAAGAGGGCAGACTTTGGTAGATGAAACGGTTCCTTTGGTTGGCTTCCTTGTTTCTATTTCAAGAGGTCCCGAACGAGCCACTACTATTATGAGTAGTCCGTGTGCGCAACGTTGATTGACAGCCTGGTGTTGTGCGGTGCCTGCCAGGGCAAGGCAAAGGCAAAAGCACGCGTCATCAAGGCGCAACCTTCCACTCAGTCACTCCCAACATGCAGAGAACAGAGCGGGCACATTGAAAACCTGGCAAACAAGCTTTGAGCAGAAATTGTGTTTACATGTTTCTTTTTTTTTGAATGATCATCATTGTTCAATGGAGAAAAACGAGAGGTGCTGTGTCCAACCCCGTTCTTGACAGTCTTTGCACCTTGCGACGTTGGTTGTTTCAGTATGGGGGGTACCATGGGAAAATATTCCAGGTTATAATGTGAGTTGATGGAATATTTTTTGGATTTTTGGGAGATTGTTTTAAAGGAATTTATAGCCCTGGGTATAGGATACCGTATACTGGACACATACCTGGAATATTTTTTGTTAAGATGATATGTTGGCAGCACTACAAAGAAGAAACAATTCCAGAATGCCATGTGAACATGTACCTAGATGTACCTAGAATACTTATTTGCAACAACTCAGCATATACCTGGAATATTAACCCAAGGGACCTATAAGATTTGATACGATTTGTTTGTGCGATGTCGCTGACAAGATGCTTGGACATGATTCGACATTCTTCGACACATTTCGACAGTCGAATAGTCGAGGTGGAGCTGTCGAATTGTCGAGTTTTCGATAACTGGAATGATTGTGGAACATAAAAAGGGTGTAATTATTCCACTTACTAAACTACCTATTGGAATACTTTATTGTAGCTATCTGACACTATACTGGAATATGTTTTTAATATTCCTGCAGGTATCGACGGTCAGGGGTATCTAAGGCACCCCCCATGTTTCAGTTCCAGCCATCCTGACAACTCGTTTTGGACCTGTGGTTTCAGGATCTGAGCTGAGAGACCCGAGAAAAAGGTGCAGGTCAAGCCGGTGGTCAAATGTGGTCAACGAATGTCAACGATGACCAAAATTACGTGAAACCTTGAGGATTATAGCTGAATCTTCGTGTGTTGTGTTCATCCTGTCTTTTTTTTGGCCGACATACTGCGAAGTTTCACCCAAGACATCCCAAGACATGCACACCCGTTTGATACGTTCAGAATCAGACATTGCCAGTGAGCGGGCGAGTTCTGTGATGCTTTTCGCAGTGCCTTTGGGCTCGGAAGCTCCGGGTGCACCCTGGAGAAGTTGTCTGCGATGTGACCTGGCAGTGTTGATGTGCTCTTTCGGTGGAGTCCACCGGTTTGGTTCACTCACCCAGTACCCACCTTGTTGGAAGGCCCTGGTGTTTTTAGAGTTCACACTCACACCATTCACGGCCTTCCCTGCGACAGATGTTCGTCTTGGGTGGGTCGCAACATTGAGAAGCGTTTGAGTGCAGCTTCATGTTGAGATCTAGGTCGGACATGTCAGGATTCCAGGATTGTCTTGATTTTGATGCCCACTGTTTTGAGATGTTTCGAAGGAGCAGTGTGACATGAACCTGCCAAACATGCTGGACATTCCATTCCAAAACTTGCATCCTTAATGCACTTTGTCAAGGCCTCCTGCTGTGGTCCGGAACCCAAGTGGAAAAGCATGGTTGCAAAACATAACTCATGGCCACAACAATATGCCACAACTAGACCAGGAGTAGTAGAGTGACCTGCATACCGTGAACGGCTCACGGCTGGTCAGTGACATTTCAGGCTTATAAGTTCGAGAGCCTGCCAGTGGAAGCCCAAAGACTCGTGGGGTGCTCGTTCCGCAAGACATGTCAATGTGGAAGTGCTCGGTTCGAGCATGCCAAGAGACTGGTGAATCAAGTCACTAAAGGGACAAGTGATGAGGTCACAAGGTTGCAAGGGCGGGTGCCATAGCCGAAGCTTGTTTCTCACAACTTTACACTTTACCGTATACTCAACAGCCAGTGGAGGATTACAAACCATCCAAGCGGTTCTTCGTCCCTTAAAGGGTGACGCAGCTCGCTTGAAACAGGCAATTTTGGCCCTTCGGCTTTGATTTGGGCAAGCAGGCTGATGTGCGACGGCTTCTCTACCTGGTGGTTGCCATGCTTGTGATCTTGCAGAAGCGCCCAGCGGTTTGGTTGGAAGGTGAAGAAGTCGCCGGAAGAAAAAGGCTCTGAAGGCATGATAGGAAAGGCGGTTAGCCAGCTCTAGGAAGTAGGGTTTTCCAAAAACGTGCCTCCCCCGCTCCCGTTGTAGTAGTCAAAGAAATGCAAAAAAGGACACCAGATTGAGTGAAAGACAGATGACACCTTTAGAGGACTGGAATGACCACAACCACGGAATCCACAAGGATGGATCGACCAGAGAGCTAACTAGAGGTCCCATGGCACGCACGTGTGATCCCGGGCGAAATCCCAGTGCTTGCGAGCCATTCTGTGATAATCACTGTCACCTTGTTTTGTGTACCTGGGTGTGATTTTGGAGGGTTCTACAACCAATGGTCGATGTATTTCAATGTGCGGAACTAGTCTCTGACATAATCGCTTTGGTGGCCGTGCTATCTTGGCTGCAAGCTGATGCTTCCATACTCGTATCAAAGCCATTCATACAGGCATTGTCTTGAACCTGGAACATGGCCGGCAACGGCTAGAACCAGACTCTTATCAGAACCTTGTCTTCGTGGGGCTCGTAACAAATGAATCTGGAGGCTTGCCTTCGTGTGGGGCCAGGAGCAATCTGGACCAGAAGTTTCCCTCTGACTCTGGAGCCTTCCAATCAGCCTAGTCGCCATCTGCGCATGAGACTGTTCACACCCCGACGCCATGGCCTTCTTTTGCCGCTGTAGTGCAGCGACAGGGGAAGCGGCACTGGAAGATGGAGACAGTGCCATTCGACAAGAGGGCTGCCTGGAGAAGAAGCAAAGCCTCTTTTTTTTGTGCTTTGGGTTCCAGTGGTTTTCATTGGGTTCCACTTGGCGCTTTGCTCTCAAATGCCTCTATGCTGGTCCAAGTCTCGCCTCCTGCGACTCCTTGATTGATCCTTCTCCTCTCGCCACCTTCGACGGTGCTTGGATGAAGGGGACTGGCTTGTCGTCCTCAACAGTCTCCTCCTTCTTGTCCGCTGCTCCTCCGGCTTCTGGGTGCCGCTCACCAGGGTGGATCCCCGACTCGTAAGGAGTTTTGACCCGGGTCTTGCCGTCCTTGTGCTGGATCACCAGGTATCCCTTAGGATCCACCAGCCCCGCAGTTCTATCTCCCCCGAAGAATATGTTTCGTGCCCTTTTGGTGGAGAAATGGCTGCCCGGTGCCATGATACCAACCTTCGCCACAGATGCATGAAGGGCTGGTGTTTCCACTCGTACCAGCTTGCTCTCAAGACAGTTGGTTTCGTAGTTGTACCTGCTGTTTTTCGAGACTTTCCTAAGGAGATGCACAGCTGTCCCACATGGAAGACGTGCCTTGTCCACCAAATTCACAGCGGATCAACATCCTTGCGGGACGGTGCCAGGCAAATCGCAGGTTTCGCAGGCTTCTGCTGTCACAATTGTCAGCGAGCCTTGGCTTCAAGTGGGAAGTCAATGATGGATTCGAAGTCAGGTCTCGCTGCAACTGGCCAAGCAGGATCAGTCTCTTGGGATTGACGAAAAGGCGCCGGAATCGACCTTGCGAATATGTGAGATGATGCATTCTTTTCTGTTGTCCCAAGCCATGCTTGCTCAGCAAAACACTCACACGTTAAAGTCGAAGTCACCCAATCGTCGATCACATGGCTAAGAACTCTCAGAGAAAGTGGCTCAGTTCATTGCTAGATTTTTGGCATTGGGCGACTCTACCACTGAGTCACTGAGCAAACGCACGATCCCAGAGGCATCGGAGCATTCCACAGTGACACCGTCTATTCAGGACTGCAAGGGAAGCTCAAAATCACTTGATGTTTGCCAGTTCTGCTGGGACATAGGCCTCCCATTGTTCCAACAAACAGATGTCGGAAAGATGAGGGGGGCAAGGTTGCCCTACCTCCCACAGAAATGCAAAGGCTTTGGATCTTGTGGAGTTTTCTGACACAAAGGAGATCTCCATGGAACTCCCTACATTGGAGGCGGAGGAGAAGATTGGGAAGGCAGGAAAATCACGTGGATGTGTATACCGTATGGTATAAATAGGAAGCCAGAAATTCCGTGGTAGAAGGAACTTTGTGACAATCTGAATCCACTTCGTCACCTGCAAGCAAGAGTCTAAGACTCGAAGAGGCAGTTTGTCCAAGGAAGGTCCTCCAGCTTTTGGTGGCTTTGAGGAACAGACGGTCCTGGTTAGGAAGGTAGAATGGAGCACCAACTCGGCTGCAAGGCTCCAGAAGCCAACCCTCTTGAGGAAGTAGAAGCGACGGAGGCCTTCAGGGTTAATTTATGTTAATTTCATAAGATCCATGTATTAATTAATGTGCTTCGGATGCCGTTTCCATTGTTTTCCATGGTCTTGCTGCTTGGGACTATACAACGTCTCGCTTTTCCTCCCCAGCATATTGTGCGGGGGCTGATGCAGAGGCAGCTCCAGAAGTGAAGCCCGAGCCGCAGAAAGCTGAAGAGAAGGCAAGAATCACTTTGAAAAGGGGAAGCTGTGGTGCCCCTCGGGCCCACATGTCAGGTGTTGAACCAGCGAACAGCACACCAGAGATGATATATGTCATGATGAAAGTAAGTTGGCCTGTAGGGCAAATTTTGTGAGGCCAGCCTGAGGGACGCATGATGATGTGTTTGAGTTCGGCGGAGCCACCAAATCCCAAGCACACGTTTGACTCCATGACTCTGCGTCAAGCTTCTAGTAGCTTCTTGCTCCTAGTAGTAAGGCCAGGAGCCCCTAGTAGCGTCCTTGCTC